CTGGGTGGCACAGTCAGTTAAGCGTCTGACTCTTGATTTTCGCTCAGGTCATGATCTCGGGGGTGGTGAAATCAAGACCTCCTGCCCCCCACCTTCTGCACCCAGTGCTCAGTGGAGAGTCTGCTTGAGATTCTCTTCCTCTCCCCCTCCCCCACTCATTCTCTCTCTCTGTATCTAAAAAAAAAAGAGAGAGAGAATACAATATGTAATACATATAACATACAAAATATGGGTTCATTGACTATGTTATCCCTAAGTCTTCTGGCCAACTGTAGGCTATCAGTGGTTCAGTTTTGGGGGAGTCAAAAGTTAAACATGGATTTTTGACTGTGGGAGGGGCAGTCGGCACCCCCGAACCTCAGATTGGTCAACTGTACATTTTTTTATGGAATAGACAATAAGATCTCATTATAGAATTTGACATTTTTTGCAGGGCAATGTGCTGTTAAATTATTTTGTATTCACCACTATTGAGCAAATACATCAGCAGGGAGTGAGTCATCTTCCCTGGCGGGGTGCCCTTTCTCTGGGGACTGGCGGAGGTACACCCTGGGGATAAATCTTTTCTCACTGACAATAGAACTCTTGGTGGTGGTACCAAAAGCTGTAGCAGTTTTAATATCTTAGTTAAAACCTGGTAGTTGTTTTTCCCTTTTAATACATGAAAAAACTCCTGTTGGAACTAGCGTGAGTCATACATCATAAACCAGCAGTGTTCGCAGTCCCATGGGTTTTGAATGCCAAACAACACTGTAGGCTTACGATTTTAAAAACTGTACTGTAGAATGCTAGAAAATATATGTTCAGCTTTCTAATATTAAGTAATGCTATAGTATTTTTTAAAAATACATAACTATAAAGTAAACCATTTGCAAATTCCAGTGTGATGCCAGTTATGTTAAAAATCTTGATGTGACATTTAATTCTTACGCATAATTCTTTTCATTGTTTTAACCCAACAAGCAAATATAAAAAACAAAACAACAACAACAAAAGATTGAGGGAAAATGTATTCAAAAGCACTTGCTTAATTGATCTGGCCTCATTAAAAACACTGAGATTAACAGTAAACCCAAATTGTCTCCACAACATGCATGAGTGCATGAGACTCTTGAAGATGCTGATGTGTATTTCAAACATCCATAAATGCAAAGCCAGCAAAACAATAATTTTGCATCTAAACTCTCCATCAGGCAAACCATAATCTCTAGAATATTGAACTCTTCAATTCAACTTAACTAACAGGGTGCAGACTGGTCATTCTAAAAGAAAATAACACTGACGCTAGGGGCACCTTGCCAGTAAAAATCGGGATGCATATTTACGGTAATCCTCTTTAGTTGATACATGCAAATATTTGAGAGAAATGCTTTTCTCTCTCTTCAGACATTAAAATGAGAGATTCCTTAGGAGTGTCTATTACCAAAAATAAAATTAATAAGATAAAGTAAGGTCAAGGGGAGGAAGCATTTTACAAATTTTAATAATTGTTAATGAGTAACTATTGCACTGATCCACATCAGTGGTAGGTTCAGCATGTTTGTGAACTTTGAGAAGTAGTTTCTGTGTTGCCCAGAGCCTTATGTTGCTCAGTTTACACCAGAGAGTGCTCTAAGAGAACTTTATTGAACTACTGTGAAACACAAAGCTGATGTATATTCTCCATTGTTTCTATCACCCTTAAAAGTATCCTGCCTGAGATGTGCTAAATAAATTCTGTAAGTACAAGTTGGGAGGAGCAATTGTTACCACACTCCAGTCATGTGTCTTTGAGCATGGTAAGAAAAATTTTGTGACCATACTGCCCCATTCTGGTCAAAAGAAAGAAAATTAGGTTAGTCTTTGAAAAGAAAATTTTTGTAGCATCATATACAAATTTATGTAAAATGCATTTCATTAGAAGATGATGTTTTCCAAAAGGGCAAAGCATCTAAAATGGCATATAGTGTAGTATAAAAGCTCAAGGAAATCTATCTATTACCCCTTAGATGAACAATTTAGGAAGAAAATCCTACTGTTAATACTATTATTTCCATGGGCACATCTATTACAATTCTTGTAAAGAAAAATTATACTGATTATGTAATGCTACCTCTATATACGAATGTGAATTTTAAAAGATTGGCTTATTCATGGATTGGAAGAATTAATATTGTTAATATGTCTATACTATCCAAAGCAATCCACAGATTCAATGCTATCCCTATCAAAACTCCAATGGAATATTTCATAGAACTAGAACAAATAACTCTAAAATTTGTATGGAATCACAAAAGATCCCAAATAGCTAAAGCAATCTTGAGAAAGAACAAAGCTGGAGGTATCATGGCCCCTGATTTCAAACTACACTACAAAGCTATAGTTATCAAAACAGTATGGTACCAGGATAAAAACACACACACAGATCAATGGAACAGAATGGAGAGCCCAGAAATAAACCCACACATATATGGACAATTAATTTATGAAAAAGAAGCTAAGAACATACAGTGGAGAAAGAACAGTTTCTTCACTAAATGGTGTTGAGAAAACTGGTCAGTTGCATGCAAAAGAATGCAACTGAACCACTATCTTACACCATACACAAAAATTAACTCAAAATGAATTAAACACTTGAATGTAAAACCTGAAACCATAACATTCCTAGAAGAAAACACAGGCGGTAAGCTTTGTGACATTGGCCCTAGGGATGTTTTTGTGAATCAGACTCCAAAGTCAAGGGAAACAAAAGCAAAAATAAACAAATGGGAATATATCAAATTAAAAAGCTTCTGCATATCAAAGGAAACCATCATTTAAAAAAACCTGCCTGAATAGGAGAAGATATTTGTAAATTATGCATTTGATAGAGGTTAATGTCAAAGATATATAAAGAACTCATACAGGGATGACTTGGTGGCACAGTCTGTTAAGTGTCTGACTCTTGGTTTTGGCTCAGGTCAAGATCTCAGGGTCATGAGATCGAGCCCCGTGTCGGGCTCCCCACTCAGTGGGGAGTCTGCTCGTGATTCTCTCTCTCTCTCTCTTCCTCTACCCCGCCCCCGCTTGTGCTCTCTCTCTCTCTCTCTCTCTAAAATAAATAAATCTTTAAAGAAAACATCATATAACTCAATAACAAAAAACAAACAACCTGATTTTAAAAAAGGCAGAGGATCTGAATAAACATTTTTCCAAAGAAAACATACAGATGCCAACAGTCACATGAAAAGATGTTCAACATCACTAATTATTAGGGAAATGCAAACCCGAACCACAATGATATGTCACCTCACATTCATTAGAATGGCTATTATCAAAAAGACAAAAAATAACAAGTGTTGGAGAGGATGTGGAGAGAAGAAAACCCTCGTGCACTGTTGGTGGGAATGCAAACTGGTGCAGCCACTGTGGAAAACTGTATGGAGGTTCCTCAAAAAATTAAAAACAGGACTACCAGATGACCTAGCCATTCCACTACTGGGTATTTATCCAAAGATGATGAAAATATTAATTTAAAAAGACATATGTACCCCTATGTTCACCGCAGCATTATTTACAATAACCAAGATATGTACACAACCTATATGTCTATCAATGGATGAATGGACAAAGATGTAGAATGTGAAATGGAATGTTACTCAGCCATAAAAAAAGAATGAAATCTTGCCATTTGCAACAACATGGATGGACCTTGAGGATACTATACTAAGTGAAGTAAGCCAGAAGGAGAAAGACAGATACCATTTGACTTAGTCATACGTGGAATCTGAAAACAAAACAAAACAAACCAACAAAAACAAAACAAAGATAAACTCACAGATACAGAGAATAGGGAGCAGGGGTATGTGTGAAAGAGGAAAACAAGATCAACTGTAGAGTGACAGATGATAACTAGATTTTGGGGGTAAACACTTTGTAGGGTATACTGACGTCAGATTATAATGTACACCTGAAACTCATACAATAAAAAGAATATATATACATGAGGTAAAAAAAAAAACTGGATTAAACTATTTGTATTAACTCAGATGGGGAAATGGGCATATGCTCTCAATGGCAAATACTTCACCATAATTTTCAGAGTTATTTTGTTTAAAATATAAACAATATTATTAAAGTTACCGGACCTTAAATACCAAAAAAGTCATAGTGATATTGAAAAGGAACTCTAAGACATTTACAAATTCCCAGCTATAATAACTATTCACTTCAAAGTTATTTGTCTGGACACAGTGGCTGACATTAATAAGAGTAATAATAGTAATGACAGAAATTGACCTTTATTGACCACTGATTCTGCCAGTCTTATGAGAACTCATTCATTCTCATAACATAACTAGAACTTAGGCCCTATCATTATCCCCATTTTCCAGATAAGCAAACAGAGGAAGAGAGAGAATTAGCTACTTGTTCAAAGTTACACACTGAAGTAAAGGATAGTTCTAGGATTCACACCCAGCATCCTCTCTCTTCCATTATACTATATAGAGAGGAAATACAGATCCACTTATCGTTTTGTATGTGGTGTATCTAACCATTACACTCTGAAAAAAATGTGATACTTTGTCTATACTGCAGTTTATTATCAAGATCAAATAAAAAATTATGTTAATTAGATATATATCACTCTACCGTAAATAATAATATAAATCAATAGAAACAAATGCCATATAAAAGCACACATTATCGGGGGGTGCCTAGGTGGCTCAGTTGTTTGGTTGAGGCATTGGGCTCCTTGCTCAGTGGGGAATCTGCTTGAGATTCTCTCCCTCTACCTCTGCCCCTTCCCCCGATGGCACACACTCTCTCTCTGTCTCTGAAATAAACAAATAGATCTTTTTTTAAAAAAAGCACACATTACCTTTACATGTGTATATGTTTTTATGTGAATGCTAATTGCAGAGGTATTAGAAGTTTGAAATAACTAGCAATTGTCTTCATTTTCTGGGCCATAACTAGTTTCAAGTATGTGAATTTTTGTTTTTAGCATTAATTACCAAGTTTCCATATTTTTAAATTACCCGAATCTTTGTCCATAGCTTCAACCCTTGTGACAAACTGCCCTGGATTTTGGTTTTCTTTAACTGAAGCTTCATACAGGTCCTGCTGAAACACGGGTGCCTCATCATTTACGTCAAGAACAGTAATCGTCAAAGTCTGGGATGAAGAAAGTGCTGGTATGCCGTCATCCAGTGCCAGAAGGGTCAGAATGTGCTGAGCTTTTATTTCATAGTCCAAAGGACAGGTGGTTGTTAGTAAGCCTGATTTGAAAGAGGAGAAGAGCAATAAAGAATAAACATTTTCTAGAGAAGTCATGCTCACTCTACCTTTGTCTAACTTACCTAACTTGCTAAAGATCCAGAAGCTTTCTTGCTAAAGAATAAATCTTATTACATCAATGTGAAGTTTATATATTATCAAGAATAAAAAGATAACTTTTTAGTCAAAAGAGTCATTCTGGTTTAAACTATAAGGATGAATTTGAATTCAGAAATAATCTATCATATACCTTTATCTATGGAGATGATTACACCAAAATTATTTTTCTACTTTCATTAAAAAAAAAAATTTAGGTTAGGGGCACCTGGCTGGCTCAGTCAGTAGAGCATGCAACTCTTGATCTTGGGGTCCTGAGCTCAAGCCCCACGCTGGGCATGGAGCCTACTTAAAAAACAAAACAAAAACAAACAAACAAAAAATCTAGGTTGTAACAGTAAATGCTTCCATGTCAAATGACACTTCATGTCATTTACCAAAAGGTGAGTATAGCTACATTCCTTAAGATAAAAAGTTATAATCTCTTTATACTATCTCAGTAACTATCTTTTTTTCCTAACAAAAAATAGGAAGACTCTATAACTCAGGAAATAAACTTCACAAATAGAACATGTCTCCATCCTACTGCCATTTAAGCATATAACTCATCTAAACAAAGTGTTATAAAGTCTTACACACAGATAGCTGTCACATGATTCCAATCATCACATTCCTTCTTTGAGGATTGCTGTTTGCTTCTCTAACACACGCTCATCCTATGAGAACTTACCTTCAAATAATTAAAGAAGCTTACTGATTCAGATTTTGTAAGGTAGTTTTTCAATCATTACTTATCCCTCTGTATTTCAGAGCCAAAGCCATTGCAAAACTCACTGTGTCTTCTTCATAAGAAATGTGAGCTTCGTGAAGAAAAATAGCCTGTCTCCTCTGAATGCATTCAGCAATGATCATTTATGTCTTTGAAAAATATCTCAACTGAAACAGCCAGGACCATTGTTTAAGAGTCACGATACCTATATTACTGAGGCACGATTCTAATTTTATCCATCCTCTTTGACGATCTGAAATAGACCTTCCTTAGCCATGTTGGAAAACATTTTAAGTATTGTTGAAACAGGTCCTTGGAGACCCCAGCTCTCACAGAAATCAGCAGCTGGGTCTGGACTATCTCTCTGTCAGCTGGGCTTTTAGGTGGTGGTCATGCATGCCTCAGAATGGAACCATATGTACAGGATTTAATAAATATTTTGATGAAATTTTCCAACAGTATGTAGCCGGCCTATAATCATGACTTCCAAATCCTACACATTCAGTCCCATTCCAAATAATGTTCTTAACGAACAGTTGGGCCAAATGGTATACATCTGAGATGTTTTTTCTAAGATTGACACAAAATGACTTTATTTTGTAGAGAATGAGATGGTAGTCCATCTCTTCAATATCTCCTGAAAATCAGGTTGAGGGGTGTTCATTTCCAATTTCACAAGAATGACACTTTATGCATGTAACCTTCCATCAAACTGAATCAAAAGTTTTAGTAGATGTTATCTTGTAACATGGTGACAGCAAGACAAGTGAAGTGACAGTGAGTGACATTTCTACAGAGTGGACAGTGAATAAATGCTTCTGCAAAAAATAAAATGTTACAGCTGATATGAGAATCAAAGGTCTTAATGCCCAAATCAATCCAACCTTTTAAATGTAGTACTTCCAACTATTTACAAATGAATATTTGTACGATCTTAAAGATAAGTTTCCCTTCTAAAGTCTTTGAATAATGCTGATGATTAGTCATGCTCTGCCTTGATGCACTTTGGTACCATCTCCGACCCTGTGAATATCCACAGTGCAAAGCAGTAAAGAAGTTGGCTACCATATATTCATCTTGTGAAATGTGAGCTAGCAACAAAGCATCGTCAATATTAACAAACAGGCCAACTACAGGTGGCTGTCTGAGTACAATCTCTGGGCCTTTCATTTACCTAAGTTAAGCAGTAAATCAAGTCACATTTCTTTAAAGCTTATACATCTTGAGAATTGCCATTTTAACAGAGGAAAATGAAGAAGACAAATGTGAGCACGTGATCAGAGACTTTAACTGATAATGACAGACAGTACCTGATGACTCGTCTAGCATAAAGGCCGTGTTGTCATTTCCTGAGAGGATGCTGTATGTCACTCTTCCATTCCTTCCTTCATCTGGATCTTGAGCACTTATGTGGTGCACCAAGGAGCCCACCGTGGCATCCTCTTTGATGCGGGCAATGGGGAAAGACATAAAAGTGGGGCTGTGGTCATTTACATCCAAAATCACGACCTTTGCTGTCAGTGATTGCAATCGCCGGTCTGTCACATTCACAGCCTGATCCAATGCAGTTATTGTCAGGATGACAGTTGGAACCCTCTCTCTGTCAAGGGGCGATGCAGTGACTAATGTGCCAAATGAGGGGTGGATGAGAAATGGACTCATTCCAGGGTGGTGGGATTCAATGAAGTATTGAATTCTACTGTTCAAAAAACTGCCATCCCCGTCTTTGGCATTGAAGACGTGCACCAGAGTCCCTATAGGGACATTCTCTTCTACACTTATCACAATGAGCTCTTCTTGGAAAGATGGGGAATGGTCATTCTGATCCTCCACATCAATACTCAGGAAGACTGTGCTATTCAGGGGAGGGGTTTTGCTATGGTCTTTAGTAACCACCCTGAAAAGGTAATGAGACGTCATTTCATAATCAAGTTCCTTAGAAAGGAACAAGTCCCCTGTTGAGCTGTCGATTTCGAAGTGACCATCCTTGTCATCTGCAGCAATACTAAAATGTAACTTTCCATTATGATGTTGTTGAAGGTGATCGGGTGACTTTATCAAGCTCATTATTTTTGCAGGCTTCAAGTTTTCGGGTAAAACTAAGTGTCTAATATTCTGAGAAATGATAGCTCTCCCTTTAGATAATGGTATCACCTGAAACAAGAATGAAAAAGAGCTTTTAATTCGGGGTCCTTCTTAACAGTTGAATCACTAGATGTGATGATACTACTTTGGAAGCTAATCCCTTCCGTTTGTATGATACACATATGTTAATTAGTGAGAAAATGTCTTTTTCTATTATATAATTCCAGTATGTCTCTGAAGATTGAAAATTGTATAACATCTAGGAGATAAGAAAGTACAGAATTTTCCATTTCCCTGTTTGTTCTAATGCGTGAAATGAGATTTGGTGAGACCATGCTATAGTTAAACTGAATTGTAGCTTTGTGATTCTTCAATGAGAATGTGGGATAGATAGTTCTCCAAATTACTCTAAATCCTAGAGACCAATATATCCATAATGACAACATCTGTTCACATTTATGTATCATGTGTCTTTGTTTATCTGAAACCAGAGACTTGGAAATAATACGATACAGAATTTTCTCCTAACCCACATATCCTCAATCAATAAAGAATATAATTTGGAAACAGAATTCTTAGGGATATCTATTCTTGATTATTATACATATCTGTATTAATATTAGTGATTGTCATGTGTATGAACAAAGAAATTTAGCTATGCACAATCATCTCATTTTTGACTGGTGAGTGTGAATTTTTCCCACAATGAAGACTTCCCACAAGTTGTTTGCTCATTATGATTAAAGCAAAGCTTTAAAATGTGGTTCTCAAGTGACTTTTCTAAATTTAAAAATAATTACAAAGAACTATGTGATATATTATTGACCCTTGTTTACATACAAGTTTGTCCCGCAAATTTACCAGGTCCTTGCAATTAGGAACAAGTAAAAGACAAGACACTTTTTTGTTCTTTGTAAGCAAAGCAACATAAATGCCTATGTAGTGATAAAGGTAAATATCTTATCAGGAACTGTACAAAGTTAAAACTAAAAGTTACTTGGGTCTAATCATTTCTCAAGTGATAATAAAAAGACACACATAAATCTGCAATGCTCTCTAAAAATAGCATTCATGAATTTAAGGTATCTTCGCTGTACACATTTCCATAAAAATCTAACAAAAACCTTCTGAACATCTTTTCACACTTTATGTTGACGATGGAACATTACCTGGATATTTTTTAACTCAATCAGCCAACATAGAGTACATCACAAGTTTCAGATGTAGAATTCAGTTATTAGTTGCATATAACACCCAGTGCTCATTACATCATGTGCCCTCCTTAATGCCCATCACCCAGTTATCCCATCCCCCCACTCACCTCCCCTCCAACAACCCTCAGTTTGTTTCCTATAGTTAAGAGTCTCTCATGGTTTGTCTACCTCTCTGATTTCTTCCCATTCAGTTTTCCCTCCCTTCCCCTATGATCCTCTGTACTGTTTCTTAAATTCCACATAGGAGTGAAACCATATGACAATTGTCTTTCTCTGACTGACTTATTTTGCTCATCATAATACCTTCCAGGTCCATCCACTTTGATGTAAATGGTAAGATTTCATCCTTTTTGATGGCTGAGTAATATTCCTCTGGGTGTGTGTGTGTGTGTGTGTGTGTGTGTGTGTTACATCTTCTTTATCCATTCATCTGTTGATGGATATCTAGGCTCTTTCCATAGTTTGGCTATTGTGGACATTGCTGCTATAAACATTGGGGTACACGTGCCCTTTTGGATCACTACATTTGTATCTTTGGGGTAAATACCTAGTAGTGCAATTGCTGCGTCACAGGGTAGCTCTATTTTCAACTTTTTGAGGAACCTCCATACTATTTTCCAGAGTGGCTGCACCAGTTTGCATTCTCACCAACAATGTAAGAGGGTTCCCCTTTCTCCTCATCCTCGCCAACATTTGTTGTTTCCTGTCTTGTTAATTTTAGCTATTCTGACAGGTGTGAGGTGGTATCTCACTGTGGTTTTGATTTGTATTTCCTTGATGCCAAGTGATGTTGAGCATTTTTTCAAAATATTACCTGGATATTAATGACTGCTTGGCCTTGAAGAGTAGGCACTCCCTGGTCACTGGCAGTTACAGTCATCCTGTAGGAAGGCCTATGGTTATATGAAAGGATTGTGGTTGTTCTTATTTCACCACTGTTGGCATCAATCTTGAAGTGATCAGAACTGTCTTCTATACACACACACAGAAATTAAGAAATCGATGTTAATTGACAATGCAGAAAACAGAGAATTAATGAATCTACATACATCTGTGATAATTTGGAAGATTTGTTTATTTTAAGCTTTGCGAGTATATGAACATAAAATAATACTAAAATATAGACAGGAAACATAACCAATTTTTAAATGTTTTATTATGGAAATTTTCAAACATATGTAAAAGTAGACAGAATGATATACTGAGCTCTGCACAAAGATGACTTTGACCTTATATGGAGACAGCACTGAGATGACTCTGCCTGTTGTCTAGCTTCAATAATTATCAACTCATGACCAATCTTTCTTCCCTAGTCATATATTCCCCTTTACCATCCTCTTTGGAAGCAAATCCCAGAAATCTTATCATTTCTTCTGGATATATTTCTTTTTTTTTTTTTAAAGATTTTATTTATTTATTTGAGACAGAGAGAATGAGAGACAGAGAGCATGAGAGGGAGGACGGTCAGAGGGAGAAGCAGACTCCCTGCCGAGCAAGGAGCCTGATGCGGGACTCGATTCCGGGACTCCAGGATCATGACCTGAGCCGGAGGCAGTCGCTTAACCAACTGAGCCACCCAGGCGCCCTCTTCTGGATATATTTCAACATGCATCTCTACTTACTCATAACCCAAGGGAATAGTTCATTATAGGAAAGTCAGGATAAATACTTGATGCTAAGCTTTTATTTAACAATGTTCAAAATAATGGATTGATTCACTAACATTCTCCTCCTGGGTTCCAACTATGATAATTACAGTTTTGCTTAGCCTCTGTTTTAAGAACCATTAAGCATGAATTTAAACACATTAGCAGGGTTTCAATCTATTGCCATTATTATTCTTATCTATGCTCAAATTTTCCCATCTTTGAACATTAGGATTCTTTTGAAGTTGATTCCTGAACTTTTCTAATATGATCCTAGTAGTCTTTAGTAACCTCCTTGTATCTGGTATGACAAAATGGCACAGACTCATCTTGTAAAGATTTCCTGTCCAAGACCTGGAGTCAGCCGTTTCGTCAAGGATTCCTGGTTCCTTTTGGAGGAACATGGTATCGGGAGGCTATATTCTGAACGTGAGGGGGGGCTTATTGTTTCCAGGCCAGTCATTGTTTCTAGGCCTTTTTCAGTGGACAGAGAATACACACATGCACAAACTAAAATCTGTCATAAGTTCATACTGGTACTTCTAATTAAATTGATTATATAGGTTTTTTTGGTTAAATAACAGATTTATATTGTTTAGTAGAATCTAAACATTTCAAACAATCCAAAAAACTCTTGACAAAGCCTGAGCTAGGGGCTCTCTTTCATTCTTTTGTTCCATTTTGATGAGTCATTATCACAGAACAGGTATTTTACCAGTCATAGGAGATACAAAGACAAATAAAAAAGAACTCCTGCCCTTAAGAAAGTTAGAGGGTAGAGCAGGAAATTATGTAACATCTACTAGTTGTGATTTCTATGCCTTGATCAATTTATTCATTTTTACATGAATACTGTATGAAATTTTCATAAATGTTTTACATGTGTTCATTTGCATTACACCTATTTATTTATATTTCTTTTTTATCCTTTTTTTTTTTTTTAAGAGAAAGAACATGAGTGGTTGGGGGGAGGGACAGAGAGAGGGGAGAGAGAATCCCAAACAGACTCCGTGCTCAGCATGGAGCCTGAAGTGGGGCTCCATCTCACAACCCCGAGATCACGACCTGAGCCAAAATTAAGAGTCTGAAGTTTAAGTGACTGAGCCAACCAGGCACCCTACATTATATTTATTTTTATCTTGCTATTTCTCCTTATATTTTGTAGTTGCCTCTATTTAGCAATTGGATGAAGTAGGTATGAACACCAGAATATATACCATTATATTTTTTATATTGTTACACCCAAGTATTATTTTAGAAGCTAATTTTTAAAAAATCAGTATTTCAAATATTTGGAAATATATGATGAACCCCCATGTAAACATTTCCAAACTAGTCAATTCCCACAATTTCTTCAAAAGTCTTAAATAGCATAGTATCGCTACAGCAGAGGATTTGGGTATACCTCCAAATCTCATTCCCCTCCTTCTTCCCAGGAACTAGGAAGTTTTCTCAAGTGGTGGTTTATCTTTCTCGTCCATATATTCGTGAGTAGTAGATAGCCTGGTTTCAGTTCTTTCTAGATAATGGTATTATAGCAGGATTATAGCTTAATATATTAATTTCTGTGTGTTTGTGTATGTATGTGTGCAGCAGGCTCACTGAATATGTTGCCTTTAGGATCTTGAACTTTCCCAAGCATGAACATGATATGCCTTTTCATTTTATTCTTCTTTAAGGTCTTTCGTTAATAATTTGTAATTTCCTACATAAAGGTTTTGAATGTCTTTTATTGGAATTTTCCTCCCTATGCTCCTGATTTGGGGGGTTTTTCAAATATATAATGTGGGGGGGCTGTCTTTAAGAAAAATAGGACAATATTACAAATATAAATTGTCCACTGCCCCTTACTCCCATCCCAGAGGAGCCCTTCAAGTGAAGGAACCTGAAACTTAAACTTCATTACTTCACAGTATATCTGCCCCAATACCCTATGGATTTCCCTGTTACGATGAGCAAGATCTTTGAAAATCTGCTTAGTTTGTAAAATCTGCTAGTGATTTTTTGGGGGGCGCCTGGGTGGCTCAGTCAGTTGAGTGACAGACTCTTGGTTTCTACTCAGGTCATGATCTCTGGGTCCTGAGATCCAGCCCTCTGTTGGTTTGGCACTCAGCACGGTGTCTGCTTGAGATTCTCTCTCTCCCTCTCCTTTCTTTCTGTCTATCTCCCACCCCCTGCTCTCTCTCTAAAATAAATAAATAAATTTTTAAAAAAATAAATAAAATGCTAGTAATTTTTAAAAAGATCTTTATCTCTTTCTTTCTTTCTTTCTTTCGAGAAAGAGATAACATTATTAGCAAGAAATAACATTATGTCACATTTTGTGACAAACATGACAAGCAACAAATATATTTAAAAATATTGTAAAACGTAGTGCCAACTAAAGCTAATCACCAAAACAAATCTGAGGCCTGTGCATTCTAAAAGAAAACTATAAACATAAGCCTTTCCTAATGAAGTTCCAACATACACACATAATATATGTACTGTGACATTTTCCAAGTATGATTTACTTTGATCTTAAGAATATTTAGTCTTCATAGAGATTCATAGATGTTTGCATTCATAATCATATTTCTTTATACTTAATACCAATTTTGATTCACTACTACTTTACTTTCAATAAAAGTTGATTTGCATTTCAGATTATTGAAAATTATCCATTTAAGGTGGATGGTTGGTTGGTTTCTATTTAGGACACAGAAAAACTACTATGATTTTACCTTAAAGTTTTAAGTTAATTTTTTAAATGAAGGTGACTCTAGATAATCACAAATGTATTTTGTTTGTACCTGGTGTTATTTTCAACATTACCCATTTTCCCAGAAGAAGGTAGATAGTTGGTAGACAAAAGAGGAAATCCTAAAAGCTCCTAATCCTTTATAAGGGTGACTTTTACCTGAAGATACTGAATATACAACTTCTGCATTGTTTCCTTCGTCAAAATCTTTTGCAAACACAGTTGTAACCAACATATTTACTGGTTGACCTTCCAGAACCTGTCATTAAAACAAATGGCTTAAAAATTAGTCATTGAAAGTTTAGAGAGAAATATGAACCTTTAAGTGAAAGAACACATTGCTACTAAGCATTTTTTAAACTATGTTAAAATCCACCTATAACTCAAATGTCTACCATATAGAAGTTATATAAATGCAAATCCATGAAAAGAAACAATACTACATATTTGAACAAACTAGTTCAATTTGAACAAATCATCTGCAGCATTTGAACTAATTTTGAAAAAAAATCAAATTGACTAAATAATCGTAGATTTTGGATACGTTTTAAGAATTCTAGCATCTTCTCATTATTTAAAAGGTCCAAAATATCCTAAAGATAAATATAAACCTTTATTTCAGGAAACACACCTAATAGAGGTAACATACCTCAGTAGTTAACAGGAACTTTCATGGAATATTGAAATGTACATGGGGAGTTGAACTCCAAGTGTGGAGTCCTGCTACCCTGCCCTGGGATGTTTTAATGATATTAAAATAAAAATGATACTATAATAATGCTTTGTTTTGGTAGGATTTTCTTTAAATACAGCTTTGGAAGATGAGTTTAAAGTTATGAACTGTCTCAGTATCCTTTTTAAATTGTTCAATATGCATATCTGAACACAATTTGAATGTCCAATTCAGTTGGTTTGGACAACTGAAAAAAGTTGGAAGCTTTTTGTTCATGTAACCCATTCATTAAAAAAGTATAAATACCTCCAAGATACATTTATTAATTATGTCCATGAACAAATATTCTAATTTATTATGTATATTATAAAACATACAAAACATGGAAATGAAAAAGATGAAATCATATAAATATAATTAGAAATTTCTGCAGGTGCTACCAAAGATCAAATTTTATGGTCTCTGGTTGCACGTCTTTCTACTTCAGAGCTACAGATTGTTCCCCTATATTTAACTAACCAGCTTAGAGATGTGTACCAGTTGCCCATAAGGAGATCTGAACCGAGAGACGCATGCAAATTACTGGGAAAACAATCCACATCTGAGCATTACTGACAGTGGGGCACCATTACATTTGTATACAACAGGCAAAACTACATTATCATAAAACTAGATATGTGATCCCAAATTGAACATATAACCATTTTATTTTATATTTTAATTTGTGGAGTCTTTTTTTTGTTGTTTTTTTTGACATGTTCACAATTTTTAGATCTGGAAACATACATTGCCACATTGAGACTGATTTGATAAATTCACACTTTTTACCACAAGATGGTGCTCAAAACAAACGACTAAGACTATTACAAAATCATTGCAAGGCAACTTCACTCCACAAACCTTGATGTGCAATTCCTCTCCAGGGAGACACTGTGGGAAATATGGCCTGTTATCATTGATGTCAGTCACTGACACATAAACCACCATGGTGGCGTTCCGTGGCGGGGAGCCATGATCAGTCACCAGGATTGTCACCTGATGGTGCACCTGAAGCTCGTGATCCAATGCCACCCAACTGATAAATTCACCTAAGGAACACAGAGGAGAACAAAAGAGGCTGTCACCGTGTACTAGAATGACCCCATCCAAGCTAATTCACGGAAAGGAAAACCAGACATAAAACTCAGAGTAAATGCACCATTTCTAAGATGATGTACATTAGTAGTTTGGCTCTACTGTTAAATTTTCTGAAGTTTCTCCCGAAAATGCCATTTCCAATTTGTCATTCTTTGTATTTCAAACTATCTGCCATCCACCATCTGAACTAAAAAAATGAATTCATAAAAATATATGATAAAGTACTTTGTGGGAATTTGGTAATAATTTAGAAGATTTAAAATTATAGCATATCCTTCTTCATACTGCCCCATAGAATAATGGAAAGCACCTCAGCTCTGATATTACAAGTTCAGGGTTTGGGTCCCAGTTTCTCCACCTCAGACATGGAAGGACCTCTCCCTAGCCTACCTCCTAGGGCTACCAGAAACAAATACAATCATAAATTTAAAAGTATTTTGTAAGCCATAAATTATTACAAATGTGACAGTTGTTATCATTACTTCAAAATAATGCCAAAATACCTTCCTGAAAATCAAATACATTCTGTAGGCAATGATTTAGCTTTTATGTAAATAGTTCTTTATTGTTATGTCACAAAACATATGTGTAGCAATGGATAGTGACTTCCCAAATAACTGAATGCTTTGCAAGCCTTATTTTCCATGTTCTTCCTCAGAACTGTTTTCTAGCAACTTCCATCATGGTTCAGCCATGGAGACTCAGGCTATGGACCCTTGGAGGCCACATGCCCTCTCCAGGCAGCCCAGCTCCTGCTGCAGAGCTCCACCAGCTATTACTTTCCTCACTATTTATGGAGATATCTATTTGTGAGAAAGTCAGTATGAAGCAACTTCCAGCTAACATTACCATTTCTAAGATTGGTTTTACTGTTCTCATCCAAATGAAATGACAGTGTGTAGAACAAAACAAAGAGTGAAATCAGGAACAGAAAGGAAAATTCACGTTTGGGTAAGTTGTGGAATTGTCAAGCTGAAATGCAGTGTTTACTATATCCATCCACTATGTAAACTACATTTATATAAATGCTTACGAGAAGTGTGATTTTTAACAAAAATCACATACCCAACAACTGCATTTTTAAAGCTCCAAACTGTAATTCTCCTCTGAAAACCCTAAATCCTGAATGGCAAACAGATTTTTATCTGATGAACCAACTCTGATAGGCAAGCAGCAGTTAGGAAGTCAGTGGGGAAAAGACTGGGAAGCTCAGCCTGGAACTGGGCACGGGAGATGCCACTGCAGCCTTCCACGGGAGCTAGTCCCAGTCACCACGCAGACGGCTCAGAGCACCAGGATGTGGAGATGTGGAAGACGGGCACACCTGCCATGCTCTGAAGGGTGCTCTCAACCCCTGTGTCGCCACACTGTACCCAGCCCTGGGGAATGGGAATCGTTTGCAAGAAGGTCGTCTTGCAAGCCCCTTCATAGACTTAAACTCTTTCCCCCTCCGAGCAGAATGCAGAGCATGTCAGGCATTATCTCCTCTATTCATGGTAAGGAAACTGAACTCTGAGGTTAAGCTACTTGCTTCCAGCATACAACAATTCTAGGAAAGGACACCTGGTCTTCTGAAGCTGGGCACTGGACTAATTGTAGGAGAGCTAAAACCATAGGGGGAACCAACTGTATACTTTATTATTTTTTTTAAGTCCCAAGTGGAAATAGAAGACCTACAAAACTACCTAGCATCTGGAAGGCACGAGCAAGCAGATCACCCTGTCCTGCTGTGCAGTTTGTGCCCTGCAGAGGGCGTCCCAGCTTGGAAGTGAATGTGAGCTGAACTCCACTTTGCAGTGGCAAAGTCATGTGCCCTGGTGTAAAGCTCCATCTGCTGGAGGAAGGGGCACCTGTTCCTAATTCACACAACGGGCCTTTCATGAGAGTAAAGGCTTGAAGTTCATCAGAACTGAATTCAAATTCTGTCCCACTATGGGGCAGGGGGCCAATTACAAAGGCTACAACATAAATGGTGCCTCCTGGAGTTGTACGGGTGGTGGCCTTCTCTTCCTTCCAGCTCCACAACCTGGGACATGTTCTTTGAGCTCCGAGTCTCAGTTTCTTCAGCTATATGGTTGCCGTATGAACATATTTCATTTGTAGGTGTAGAATTAAATAAGATCCTTGTAAATTTCTGCAATATAAATTTTAAAATGTAATAGCATTTTAATATTTAACTTCATACTGAAGACTTGGAAGAAAAGAACTCAGCGGAAATATTTGCCCTTTTCACCATGGTTCCCTTATCAGAATGAGAATGGGGAAATACACCAATAGAGTAATTTTGCAATCTTACCTAATGGATCTTTTTCTAGCTTTACATCGATGACATTTATAGTTTATAAAATGTTATTTGGCTTTTAAAAAAAATCTACAAGTGAAAAAGAACAGTTGGGGGGAAAATTAGACTTTGCACAGGGATTTATTCAGTCCAATTCTGACTGTAGCTCTAATTCAGTATAAGAACCATACACTGGCAATATGTGGATATGAGGCAAGAGGAGTATGAATCATTACAGGTAAAATTCTACTCAATTTTGACTTCATTTTAAAATCACAATTCTCCAATTGAATAAGGTATCTCCTAGAAACTAATTTTAACTACATGTTTGTAATGTTATCACTAAGAGACTTGAGTTTTGTGCATTTCGATTTTAAAGGAGTAAGTGGAAGCTACAAAATGCTACCTGTATTAGGATTCATCTTGAAGAATTTTCCATCAGACAAAAGGAAATATGACAGCTGTCCATTCTTTCCCGAGTCTCTGTCAATTGCTGTAATTTTGCCTATTACCCCTTGTGGAACAGGGCTCTCCTCGACTTTCAAAAACAACACATCATGCAAGAAGGTAGGGGAATTGTCATTCTCATCCAGGACATGAACAATTACCGAAGTGCTCACATTTTGCGACAATCTGTCCTCCGGGATCCAGGCAAACACTCTAAAATTATATGTCTGTGTGGATTCATAGTCAAGCTGTCGCCGCAAATAAATCCAGCCTGTGTCAGGGCGGACGCCAAACACAGCGGAGTCTGTGCTGGGCTCCAGCGAGTACAGGAGCGGCGAGGTTGTGCGCTGTGGGCCAAGTGGGTAAGCCTGTATTTGCAGGATTGGGGTCATCAGCGAGAGAGACTCGCTAACTTCCACTTGATAGACCAAGTTTTCAAAAGTCAAGGATGGGTTTTGCTCTTGTTCCTCAATCACAACTGTCAGCACTAACAGGGATGCCCGAGGAGGAACGCCCAGATCCTGGGCCAGGAGAGTGAGCGTGCACTTCCGGGGCATGTGACTTCCCAGACTCTCATTGAGGTACACCGCACCGAGCCCTGAGTCAATGGCAAAGATGCTTGGATCCTGGCTTGCGATCGCATATCTGATGAATCCATTCTGCCCACTGTCTTTGTCTTGTGCACGGGCGAGGTACAAGGCTGTGCCAGGCAACGTGGTTTGAGCTATTTTCACCTCATCAGAGGCTTTGGGAAATACCGGACGGTTGTCATTGACATCAATTATAGTTATGTTGACCTCTGTAATGCTGTAGGCCGGAGGGCTGCCAAGCTGAGCCTGCACTGTGAGCACAACCACCGGCTGTGTTTCATGATCCAGAGGCTTCTGAGTTCGAATGACGCCCAGCCATGGGTGAATAGAGAACTTTCTGTCCAGATCACCAGAGGAGATTCTATAAAAAATTGGCTCTGAAGAATCTAAAAAAAGAGTTGGGGGGGATTAAAAAAAAAAAGAAAGAAAGAAAAAGCAATCACCAGATGCACCTACTGGAAAGCACCTATTGGAAACGCTGAAAACTTAAAGCATTAATATACGTATGTGTATTGCAGTAATTTTGCCTATTACCCCTTGTGGAACAGGGCTCTCCTCGACTTTCAAAAACAACACATCATGCAAGAAGGTAGGGGAATGGTCATTCTCATCCAGGACATGAACATTAACCGAAGTGCTCACATTTATGTCCTCCGGGATCCAGGCAAACACTCTAAAAGTATATGTCTGCATATATATTCCATGGATATATACTACATCCATGGAAAACACAATGCAATGTATTACATCATTCTCAGCTCTCCAGAATCTACTGAAAAGTGAACACCATGGTTAAGATGTATTTGCGGACAAAGGTAATGCCCAATGGACAAGAAGCAAGCCACAGGTTTCACTATCTTCCTTTCAATCATTCTGCATTAAGTAAAAGGGAAAGATATTCAGAAAATAACTTGGATGCCTGTTTCACATATTTGGGGAAGCCAAGTTAAGGTTATATTGATGCTTCTCTATGATATCTACCTGTGAATGGCAAATAACCCCCACAAAGGTTAAGGGAAGGGAAAGAGGACAGGGAAGAAGTGGACTGTGAGCAGAGCAAGATCTTTGGACAAATAATTCACTTCTAGGAATCTACTCTGCAGAGAAACCTTTATAAATCATATATGGATATTTGCTTGAGTATTATTTGGACTAGCATAAAATGACTATAAATCATTCAAATTAATAGCAAAAGGGAAATGTTTCAAGAAAACATGTTTATATCTAAGTCAAAATACTATGCAACCTTTGTTTAAATGAGACAGAATGATGTCCAGTTACTTGGAAAACTGTCCTCAACATATAAAGTGGAGGTAAAGGGTAGTTGTAAAACAACAAATACAGCAGGATGTATTTTCATTAAAAAAAAAATAATAATAAGTGTGGGGCGCCTGGGTGGTTCAGTCCGTTAAGCATCTGCCTTCAGCTCAGGTCATGATTCCAGGGTCCTGAGATTGAGCGCCACATTGGGCTCCCTGCTCGGCGGGGAGTCTGCTTCTCCCTCTCCCTCTGCCCCAGCCCCTGCTCATTCTCTCTCTCTCTGTCTCAAATAGATAAATAAAATCTTAAAAAAAAAAAAGACTTTCACAAAATTTTAAAGTGTGTGTGTGTGCACATGTGTGTGTTGGAGGAGTGGGTTATAGATGTATACTTTCTACATTATAATCCTTCTGTATTGTTTCAAACTTTTAAAAGTATCTATTACTTTTTTGATTAGGAAAAATCATAGGATAGAAATGATGCTGAAAGAACAAAGAGTAAGCCACAGATTGTGTGGTCTCCATTCTTCTTGCATGGAGAAAGGAAAAGATTTATTCAAGATGACACAGCCTAAGAAAACACCGAAAATATTCCAGTAGTGGATTTTAACAAGGCATAAGAAGCAAGTACTTACTCGAGGACTCTTTTGCTTTCACTGTTCCCACAGGACTGTCTTCAGGTACATCTTCATAAACTGAGAAAGTATACTTAGGCCTTTCAAATTCAGCAGGTGCCAGTGTTGTCTGAAGAGTGTGTATAGTGATGTCAGCATTAATGACAGATGTGAGCCCGCCACCATCTCGAGCACAGACCATCAACAAAAGGGTAGTAGATTCCAAATGACTAAGAGTTGACGTTAAGTAAATAATTCCTGGGCAGGAGAGAGAAAGAATTGAAAAACAGAGAACATGCAATAAATACTGATGAGCAACAGTGACACTGGATCTGCTAACTCTACTGTGATGGTTAACTTTAGGTCAACTTGACTGGGCCAAGTTGACCCAAACATCTGGTCAAATATTATGTTGCATGTTACTGTGATGGCGTTTTGGATGAGATTAATATTTAAATGGGTAGACTAATTCAAGCAGATTGTCCTCCCTCAGGTGGATGGGCCTCACTAAACCAGTTGAAGGCCTAAATACAACAGAAAGACTGATACTTCCCTGAGTCATGGCAATTCCTCATGCCTGATTGCCTCTGAAATGAGATATTAGTTTTTTCCTGCTTTCAGAATTATACTGAAACATCAGATCTTCCTAAGGCCTGAGACTACAAGCATCAGACTGGAACTACACCATCGGTTCTCCTGGGTCTCTCATTGACCAACTCACTTGCAGATTTTGGGACTTGTTTGCCTCCATAATCACATGAGCTAATTCCTTATAATAAATCTCTCTATATCTACCTCTATCTATCTATCTATCTATCTATCTATCTATCTATCTTCCTATTATCTCTCTCTCTCTCCTATTGGTTCCATTACTGGAGAACCTTGACTAATACATCTACTTTCCAATCCAAGAATTTGAGCATATTTGCAAAATGATGGTCCAAATTCAGTCAGGTAAGCAATATTTTCCCAGAGCTTAAACATTAGGCATCTAGGAAGTATATCAGTTCAGCAGTAAACATAAATTGTGTTGCCTTTGTTAGATCTTAACAACAATATAACCAGCCCAGGATGATGGGATGGCAGAGTATACACCATAATCCAAAGTAATCTCAGCTAAAGGAGGATTGTAGGGTGATCACAATCTGCCCAGGTATCAGGATCCTAAATCTACAGAATGAAACTAAAACTTCATCTTCTGAGGTATTTGACACCTGACCTGAACTAGATGGTGTAGGGCAGCTCTCTTTTTCAACTGGCTCTATGTTTGTGGTGAGAAGGTATAATGTCGATGGCTGTGGGTAAGAAAACTTGAATAAATGTTAAAACCATGGTAGGGGTGGGGTGCCTGGGTGGCCCAGTCGGTTAAGCATCTGACTTCAGTTCAAGTCATGATCAATATCAGGGTCCTGGTATTGAGCCCCGTGTCCATCAGACTCCCTGCTCAGCGGGGAGTCTGCTTCTCCCTCTTCCTCTGCCTCCCCCTCCCCCCCACCGCTCATCATGCTCTCTTTCTCTCTCTTTAACAAATAAAAAATCTTTTAAAAAAAAGTGTTAAAACCATGGGGACAAGAGTGAGAAGTTAGGCTTGTGTACATAGTGTGGGTGAGAGGAGAAGGTGTGAATGGTTAAGTTGGGGAGGGATCCAGTAATGCTGAGAAAACCAGTTATTTAATATTATTAACACCACCCTTTCATGTGCTTGTTTGAAAACAGATAAAACATAACCAACTTCAGAAATGAACATGTTAGTTTTTTTTAATGAGAAAGAAAAAAACACACAAACTTATCACATGAATTTACATACAAATAAATGTAGCTGAACTCTGCAGGATCTATCACAGTATAATTGGCTGTAAGCATAAGTTAAATGAAGGAATAGTGCAGTTTTTGCCAGTTTATGAGAAGCTGGCCAAAACATCTGAATTGTCAGCTTTCTAGGCATAAAAAAGATGATATCCATTCAATTTCTTTCTTTTTTTTAAGTCAAATCTGTCCTCTTACAAACTCCAATTCCTTGTTTCTATTTCTATTAGAAATGTAATGAAATAGGGGCACCTGGGTGGCTCAGTCGTTAAGCGTCTGCCTTCGGCTCAGGTCACGATCTCAGGGTCCTGGGATCGAGCCCCGCATCAGGCTCCCTGCTTGGCGGGAAGCCTGCTTCTCCCTCTCCCACTCCCCCTGCTTGTGTTCCCTCTCTCACTGTGTCTCTCTGTCAAATAAATAAAATCTTAAAAAAAAAAAAAATGTAATGAAATATGTTTTACTTCTCTTTGGCATAACAAGTCATCAATAACTGAGGTCAAATATCTTGTCTGACCTGCTCCGGGCAGAGTGTCCCCATTTTCTGTAGCAGTTCCTTATCTAACATGATTTTAAGTCCTTTCACTCATGGCTCATTTCTCCTGAACATGCTCCAAGTTGATTGGTGAACACATGGTTCCAGCTACAATCTAACTATTACAAAAAAGAGTATAAACACTCTTTATTAGAATACTTATAAAATATTAATGTAACCAAGTATTATTACACCAGCTATCACAGCCATATTAAAATTTGGGTTCATACTGATTTGGTGATCCACCAAAGCATTCGATAATTATCACATAAATTTCCATGTCAGATTGTTCCCATCTGTTATTGATGAGCTTTAAAAATTCTTTATTATTAAAGTCTATGCTTGGTTAAAAAAAGAACTCAAATAATACAAAAGTGTCTCCCTTGAGAAATAAATGAAAAGTCCCTCTCCCCTCCAGTCATCCCCACTCCCCAGGTATATATTCTTCCAGAGTTGACTCAGTTCCAGTTACAGAGAAATTTTTTTTTTTAAAAGATTTTATTTATTTATTTGACAGAGAGAGACACAGCGAGAGAGGGAACACAAGCAGGGGGAATGGGAGAGGGAGAAGCAGGCTTCCTGCGGAACAGGGAGCCCGATGCGGGGCTGATCCCAGGACCCTGGGATCATGACCTGACCCGAAGGCAGACGCTTAACCAACTGAGCCACCCAGGCACTCCTACAGAGAAATTGTTTAAAGGTTTCATTTTCCACTCTTGATGATGACAATGAAAAAATTAATGTCTGCCTCAACTAGACCACAACTTGGTCTTCCTGACTCCAGAGGACTCCTTCTGAACCATTTTTCATACTTGTATTAGAATAGTCTTCCTAAAATCCAAGTCTAGACATGTTGGTGCCTCCCCAGAGTTTCAGGGTGAAGTTCAAATGCCTTCTCTATATTGACCAAGTTGTTGGTAAATGAGCCCTTTCCACCTCCATAGCCCGTCTCTGTACAGCCCTTTTTGCTCCAGACACAGTGAACTATTTCTAATTTCCAGGATAGACCTTGCTCTTGTGCTCGCTTCGGCAGCACATATACTAAAACAGGATAGACCTTGCTCTTTTCCATTTGGATTGCTGTATCCTCTTCCTAGAACAACTTCTTCATCTTCTCTGACTTCTAGTCACATTTTGAAGTACAGGTCAAGTCTTGCCTGGTGTAGGTGACCTGCATATACCCTCTACTTTGCTTTAGATCCACCTTCTATGATCCCACAGTGGCCTGCATACACATGCTTATCATAAGTCTAACATGTATTTTAATTAACAGTTTTGATCTCTTATTCATTCATGTATTCCTTAATTTACTTAGTGATGTATAAATAAAATCAAAAGACAACATTTTGAAAATATATAAACGATAATTTAGTATCCTAATAATAAGAGACGTGGCAGAAAGGATTGAGACATGGTCTGGAACTAAACAGACTCACGAACAGTCTGCAGGAGGGAGGGACAGTGCCAGAAAGGAGAGGGAAGACCCCCACACCAGGAAGCCCTCACGGGAAGGATGAATCCCCGTAACATTTGGCTTTGAAAACCAGAGGAGCTGAATTTCATGAGTTCTTATAACCAGTGGAACTTAAAACCCGGGATTTTAAAAATTAGCAGGCTGGGATCTGGGAGAGATGGAAAGGTGAGAGGAAACTGAGTCCCCACCCTTAAAGAGACAGCACAAGAAAAAAATGAATGGTTCAATCCATGTGGTAGATTAATACAATAGAATGTTAATGTGGCATCTAAAAAGAATGAATATACACGTTTTCATCTAGAAAGATTTTACATGCTACATTTTATATGGGAAAAATACAGAATAATTTGTAAAGTATCATAAATATTAACACATACTTTATTTGTACCCCCCCCCCACAAACACACACAGAAAAATATGCATGCTGGAAAACATGGAAGGATCTGAACAATGATCAAGAGAGGTCATCTCCTATGGGTTGAGATTATGGGACAGTTCATTTTCTACCTCTTATATTCCTATTGTTTTAATGAGCATATGTGCTATGGACTGAATTGTGTCCCTTAAATATTCATATGTTGAAGTCCTAACCCCCAGTATGGCTGCATCTGGACTAAGTAATTAAGGTTAAATGGGGTCATAGGGGTGGAGCCCTGATCTTATAGGATTAGTGGTCCTCATAAGAGGAGACATCAGAGAGCTCACTCTCTCTCCACCATGTGAAAATAGAGAGGAGGCAACTGTCCACAAGCCGGGAAGAGCTCTCAGCAGGAATCAAATTGGCCAGTACTTTGATCTCAGACTTGTAGCTTCCAGAACTGTGAGAAATAAATGTCTGTTATTAAGCCATCCAGTCTGTGGTGTTTGGTTAGAGCAGCCTGAATGGACTAAGACAATATGTTAACTTTGTAATTAGAAATATATATATATTAAAATATTGAAATATCCAGGAAAAGAAGATATGTTTGTTACAAATATATATATATATATATATATATATACATACATATATATTCTACCTTCTTATATAGGAAATGGATACAATAGTGAAGACTTAGACTGGACATTAAAATGTGTGTCTTGAAAAATAACTGCCCAAAACTCTTCTCTAAACATGGGATTCTTATTATATAAAAAGTTTCAAGGATATGTATCAATGGAAATTTTAGAACCATCAAATGAATATATTTAGGAGACCTGTATTCAATTCAATGAATTGCTGAAGTTAAATCATGCTTTATAGAAATTATATAAAACTGTTTGAACATGTGATTCCCAAGATACAAACAAAAATTATGTTATAAATACTCAAACTACTGGCAAATGTACCACAATAACATACAGTAAGTTGTGAAATCTCATAAAATAAATATCTGTACTATGGTTACACTGCTATTTAAAAGCATATTATCTCTGGTGAGAATCATCTATTTAATGATCCCCACC